AATAAAGAGGCAATGGGATTGAGAGGGAAAGGTATTTATGCATATAACTGTACATTTAAATATACATAACTGCATATATCTCAGTTGATATTTATACCTGAATATTTGCTATAAGTTGCGAAACTTCTACTAAAGTTATGTTATAGTACAGCAAAGGACTCAAGCATACTGAAATCTGCGTCACTCATACGCAGTGGCGTGCTGTTTTTGGTATCTACTAGTATACACATGTACATATGTATGTGAGTATTAAGTGCACTTGTAAATTTTAAAATTTTCTTAAAATTAGTGCTCCTCTTTAGAAAAAATTGTAGGTTAGGTTATCCCTGCTAGCCACAGTTTGGGTCGCGGAGACCATTAAAGTATGCACAGGAGTAGTGTTGAAACAACATAGTAGTTTTCTTGCTGAACCCAAACCAACTTTTGTGCTCTTTTTCGGCCGCTGACTTCATATATCTACCGGTAGCGAACTCAGAATCATAGTTGTACATAGTTTGATTTATCGAAGTCGAAAAGGGAATCGGAATCTGAAGCGAAATACAAGAGTTTAAGGGCGCTGCAAATCAGCAGAAAATCAAGTATACATTCAATTTTCTTTTTAATTTTTTTCATTTTTTATTTTTTTGATAAAATTACGTTCCTGAAAATGTCATTGCAATCAGCGAAGAAAAACTATACCCCTCATAAAAAAATTTCGATTTTGAGCAAAACTTTCAAAATTTTGTAAGCTAATAGGAGCAACAAGCTTCTTTCCACTATACCTATTTTCCAGGCTTGCTATTATCTGGCGAAAGCTCCACCATGCTCGTCCAATTGCTAAAAGTATCATAGGTTTTCAGGGCAAAAGTTTCCATATATGTATGTATGTATGTATGTAGAAGTCACAGCTATGAGTCGAAAACCGTTCAGAAATTGTGTGACAAAAAAATAAATCTCCGCGCTTTAACAAGATCAAAGTCCTAACTACAAATTATTTAGTTCTTTCGTAAAAAATGTCTCGCTGCGTAAGTGAATTAGTTTTACGCAGCCAGTAAACAAATATTTTTATAACAATTTATAAAGTTGTACGTCTTTTTAAATATAAATAAATAGCCATGTACGCAAATTTTTTTTTTCATCGAAAAAACCACCACTAAAACTAATTAAAGAACCACTTGACTTGCGCATAATGAAAAAAATGGTACATTGTGACGACAATAACAATATAACTAAATTGTGTTTAACCACAAACTACTTACTAGAAAAAGTACGATGAAATTCAAAAATAACAAAGTGTAACAAAATAGCAAAACAGTGAAACGTATAAATATTTAGAGGAAAAAAATAAATAAAAACAGCGGCGGAGAATGCAGACATTCAAAACATAAAAATAAAATAAACAAAATTAAATACGTAAATGCCTAGTCAACAACGGATGAACCACCATCACCAGCAGAGTTAGCACGGCCACCGTCAGAGCATAGCGTAAATAACCAAAGTAGCAGTCATTGCAAAAAATTTGTGAAGGCACAGCCACAGTCAGACGCGGTGTGTACAGAGGGTTAAGGTATTTTGTTATGTCTGCCCACAGCTGTGCTAACTCTATGGCACAATAGCGGTCGCATGATCCGACATGGTGGCTATCTGCTTGTTTGGCTGTCTAGCAACTTGTCTGAAAATTGGTTAGCCAACTGCGGCGGCTGGTGGTTGACCGTCGAGAGCGCAGACAGAGTTCTACACCAAGGTGTGCAGTGAAGAAACTAAAACAAAAACGTAAAAAAAAACAACAGCTAAATTCGTTGAAGCACAGCGAATAGGTAAACAAACCAGGAATTGCGAAATCAGAAACATGCGCTGTGTTGCCATAGGCGATGCAGTCGCATTGCAACCAAAAGTTGGCTACCTTCGTTTGTAATTTTTAGTAGAGGTTACCCGATGGGAATTCGAAGTAAAATAAAATAAAAATTAGCCATACTCCTTCTACAATCTTGCCACTAATGGCATTTCAACACAGCAAGAACATTTCTAATTTTGCAAAGAATGCTGCAATGAATTTGTTTCATTATTTATTTATTTTGGTAATTTTTTTATTTATTCTTAATTTAATATTAATGATATTTCCTTTCATTTTGCGAAAAATTTTTTCATTCATGAATTCTCCGCACACTCTCGCATTGCTTTGCTGGGCACTAGTGACTGACTGCTGTTTAAATTATTTATTTGCGTCATTTTTTATTTTATTTTATTTTTTTTCGTTTGTATTTTTGCCGTTAAGCGCAACATTATGGGTTGACTTTTGGTGGAATTTTATATTTTATTTGCACTAAATTTAGTATATCTAAATGTGAGTATATAGTATATTTAAATATAAAACAAAATTCTTTTTTATGCATACATATATCGCGTATGAAGACTTTTCTGATGAAACTTTGTATGTATGGTTCGACCACGATTTTCAATTTTCCATGCTTTAGTCTTGTGGTGATCTGGTTGGATTTCTTGTAATCTTTTGGGATATTTTCCAAAATTGTTCAGATTTCCTCGGCATTTTTTCGGGACCGTTAAGGACTCCACGGAGTTTTTCTGAGTTATTACTGTCTTACTTTTTTGAAGTTTTCGGAAACTTTTCAGAATTTTTCGCAGTTTTTGCTGATTTTTTTTTTAGACTTCTTAGAATCCTTCAAGCATTTATTTTATGATTATATCAAGATTTTCCTGAGTTTTTTGGGACTTCTTGGTATTATCCAAGTTTTATTTTTCGAGATCTGCCAAGATTTTTTCGAAATCATTCGATTTTTTTTTTTTACAAAAAAACTTTTACTTACCCAGTGTGCTTCACTGCGCTTTGATACAATTATTATTTTTTTATTGTTAATGGTTCAACAACGTACGAAACTATGTTTAAAAAAAATACTCAAAAATAAAGCAGTACCCGGTAAATAATATACCGAATCTTATGTTGCCACTAAACTTCAGTTTTTCAAAAAGATTTAAAAGGTGTCCACTTTTGCACATAGTGTATGTATGTCTGTATGTACATATATTTCTTTGCACCTATTTGTGTCTGCAGGTATGCGCTTTTGCGTCAATAACAGGCATCATATCCAAAAGTACGTGTAGGTGTGGGCATCTCTTGTATATATGTAAATATATATGAGCACATATGTATATGTACATACTTATATTTATTTATGTACATTTCCTCCTTCAAAAATTGCACTATTTCCGACTTGTTTGTTTTTGCTTTTACTACTTATTTTTTTGGCTTTATATTTTACAGTTTTTATTTGTTTTCTAATTGTTGTTGTTGTTGTTGTTGTTGTCATTCTTGGCCTAACGCCAACTGAGGCAAATGTAACGTCAACGTGCTGTCGTCTGTCTGCTTTTCTTAGTTGACAGCAGCAAGTTGAAAGACGAACAAAAACAATAATAGCAACTGCAACCGACAGACAGACAAAGTGACTACTACTTACTAGAGATGCTACGCAAGCACATACATATATAGATATGTATATGTACATATTTATATGTACGTATGTCTGTTTATACATACGTATTCCCGTTGTAATGCAGTTGCCAGACAGACAAATAAAAGACGAAAAATTCACAAAAAAAAAAAACAAATAACTAAAGACATACATAAATATTTATATGTGTGTAGGAAGGCGCAATCAGACGCAGTCAGTCAGTCAGAAAGACAAACAGGAATAGTAATAACCGACAAACAACGTTAAAGTCGTGGTCGTCGTCGTCGTCGTCGTAGTCGTTGTCTTCACAGACACTCAGTCTGCAGCCAAGAAAAATAAAGTAAAAAAATTATAATAATTATAAAAATACTTAAGAAAAAGCAAAAACAACAACTAGCGAACGTGTTATTCTCATTTGCTGCAATTCGTGAAATTTGTGAATGTGTGTACTATATCCATGTATGTGGTAGATTTGTATGTTTTCTGTAGCCACTATTTGTTGTGTGCATTTAAAGGTTTACTGTTTGTTCGCGAGTAAGGTATTTTACTTTCAGGTGTGTGGAGAAAAGTGAGGTTCGCAAAGTTTTCATACAAGTACCTACTTAATTGGGTTTTAATTCTTTTTTAAAGCTTAGAAGATATTTTCATTTGAATAAAATTAAATTAAATAAAATTAAAGAAATAATGTAAAATAAAACAAAATAAAATAAAATAAAATAAAATAATATAAAATAAATAAAGATAAAACAAAATAAAGTAAAATAAAGTAAAATTAGTAAAAAAATTTAAATGAAACAAAATAAAATAAAATAAAATAAAATAAAACAAAATACAATAAAATAAAATTAAATTAAATTAAATAAGATAAAATAAAATAAAATAAAATAAAATAAAATAAAATAAAATAAAATAAAATAAAATAAAATAAAATAAAATAAAATAAAATAAAATAAAACAAAATAAAATAAAATAAAATAAAATAAAATAAAATAAAATAAAATAAAATAAAATAAAACAAAATTAAATTAAATAAAACAAAATAAAGTACGTAAAATTAAATAAAGTAAGATCAAAGAAATTAAAATTAAATTAAATAAAACAAATTAACCTAAAAGAAATTTCAAAAAAGGAAAGTAAGGAAAAAATTGAATTAAATTAAACCAAATATATGAAAAAAAAATTAAATTTAACTAAGTTAAATAAAATTCAAGTCAATTAAATTAAATTAAGCAATAAAAGGTAAACAAATATTTAAATTAAATTAAACAAAATAAAATTAAATTAAACATAATGAATGTAATAAAATAAATTAGAATACGACATAATATGATCTAATAAAAATTAAATAAAATTAGATTTAATGAAATGGAATTGAATTACATAAAATTAAACGAAATAAAGTGTAACGAAATGATTTCATTTTTATGCACAACTTAAACACTTTTATACATTTAAATATTAAGAATAGAGGATTATAAACAATATTTATCTTTCCAAAATCTGTTATTTCTGCGAAAATACTAACCTCGCTCTTTTCCTTTGCTCTCCTTGCAGATGCTATCGGTACAGACTGCCGGCTACGCGGGAATGGAGCGGCTCGGCGTTCCGACCCGCACAACACTTAACTCACCACCGGACGACAGGTAAAATGACTAATCATTCATCAACTTTTTACGATCACAAAATACTTAACCATATCCGTTTTCTTTCCCACAGAGGGCAATATAGCTGTAGAATGCGCGTGGATACGCTGCCGGCGCGAGAGATTTTAGTACGTAGCGAAACTGTGATCCGTAGCAACAACACTAGCAGTAGCAGCTGCTCGAGCAGTTGTATGGCCACTGCCAACGGTAGTGGCAGTAGTAATCATCAGCAGCAACAACAACAACAACAACAACAACAACAACAAATATTACATCAAGAACATCACAATCAACATTCCCACCATCAGCAGCAACAGCAACAGCATCATCACCATTACCAACAACAACTACAACTAAACCATAACCAGCAACATTACCAGCGCATGTCAGCGCAACAACAAGAACAGCAGCAGCAGCGGTCAGCGGGCCGCAATGGCGGTGGTAGCGGGAGTAGCGTGCGCAATGGCAACATGCCAACACGCAGCAGCAATACAAGTATTAGCAACAGCAATAGTAGCAGCAATTTCATGCGCGGTGGCATTGAGGCGGCTACGCTCAAGTACGGCAACAAGGGTAGCGGGAGTGGTGGTGCTGGCGGCTATGGCGCCAACAGCAGCATAACGGCCAGTTCCTGTGGCAGCAATAGTTCCTGCAATAGTCGCAGCATCGATCACCATCAGCACTATCAGCAAGCGAAGCAGCTGAAGCAACAGCTGACGCCGCGCTGCCCACATCATGTGCCGCTGCCGGACAGCGAATGGGGTCAGGATCGCAGCTTGCAAATACGCGCAAGCTATCAGGTTGGTAACAATGCTACATTTTTTTTGTTTATCAAATTCCTAATTTGGATTTTCTCTTCTACCAGCAATCGGAAATAACGCGTTCCTACATCAAGCCACCGCCGAATAAAACCATAAAAGACGTTCCAGAACAATCATCCTACAACTTCAGTGCGCTTTCGGCGCTCAGCGGTTCCAATACGACGCTATACGCGGTGCCAAACAGTTCGACTGTCGCGCATACACAGCCGCAGGCGCAGCAGCAGCAACAGCAGCAACAACACAAGTCAAAGCCAAACGTGATCACAAAGCTTTTCTCGCGCAAAAGCTCACCCAAATCGCCTACAGCGCTGTCATCATCATCCTCATCCACGTCAGCGTGCTCCTCACTCGCATCGTCCGCGTCGATATCGTCCATGCCCGCATCAGCATCGTCCTCAGCGTCATCGATAGCGTCCGCAACTGGTGGTGCGAACGCTGCACCGACAGCCATATCGCCTTCGGCATCCACATCTTCATCGGCTTCGTCGCTATCGTCGGCGCCCTTACCAACCATGCCAATATCAACGGCGTCAACATTGAAAACGACCGCCTGCAGTTATGGCGCCAATTCATTGCAATCGTCCACGCCACCTTCAATCACGGCCGGCTTAGCGCCCAGCACTCAACTGTTGACTACCATCGGCGTTTCGCCCACAGCCACACCCACCACAATTGAGCGCATACCAACGCCGCCATTGTCGGTGACTGTGCCCATTGGTAGCTACCACCACCACCACCACCACCACCATCATCATCATCATCATCACCACCAGCAGCAGCGTTTATACCAACAGCAGCAACAGCAATTGCTGCTGGACAGCATTGTTGCCGAAAGCGCCACACCTACAACATCGCTGCAATCGCTCAAAAGCAGCAGCTGCAATCTGGCGACCACTGCCGGCGCTGTAGAGCGCAACAGCAGCCGTAACAGCCTAGTGGCAATGGATTGCTATCCACCCGAAGCGGCGTCACCGCGCTCGCGTACACCAACCACAGCCGCTGATGGCAACACTTGCAACTGCAATTGCAATAGTAAAGACTGCAAAATTTGTGTGCCCACAACTGCAACATAGCAGCAGCAGCAGCAGTAGCTGCAACATGTTGCTGTTGCAAGTTCCACAGTAGAGGGCATCGAAATTGCGGAAATTGCATAGGCGGAATGTGGAAAAGGAAACGTGGCGGTGGAGGCGTTGAAGTGATAGAAGAAGAATAAAAGACAAGGGTACAGCGCAGCGTGAATAAGTTGTGCATAAACTAGCAACAAATTCCTGTATGCGTAGGCGTGAGGGGGGACAATATGTAGGGGGGCATAAATGTGTATGTATATTTGCTGCAATATGTTGTACATTAGTTTGGTTTAGATTTTTGGTTTTTTTTTTTTTGTAACACATGTATGTAGGTATGTATGTTGACTATCAAACTACTTTGTACGCTGGTTTCATATGAATTTTGTATTCACATCATTTCCAAACGCAACAGCCAGAGCGAAAGAGGGGGGTATTTTGCTGTAATTTTCGGAAAATCTGTATAAAACTTAAGAAAATTTGAGATGTACATATGTATATGTATGTAGCTCGATTCTGATAATACTTGACACTGCCTAGTTGCGGTAGAATATTTATTGTTAAGTCGCTAGAATCGGGCTGTTAATGTATGTATATATGTATGTATGTACATATGTATGTAATGGAGTGGGTGAAAAAAGCGCAGTGCCTGACGCTGAAAATGCTTTTGCCAGCTGAGATGCTAAATTATTTAACTAAATAAATATTTTGTACGTTTGCCTTAAGTTAAGTTTATGCTAAATATTTATTCATTCACGGCCTAATGCAATGTTAATGCAAATTTTTTAAATTAGTTTTAACCTATTACTTTTTTGAGTTTTATATACATAGGTATGTTTGTACATACATACTATGTAACTATTTTTAAATATTCAAAATTTATTTTATTTTTGTTTTTAGTTAAATAATCAGCAATTTTATTGGAAGCCAAAAAAAGTGTAAGCGTGGATACTGTATGCATTGTGTTCATGCTTTTTTTCTACAATAAATAGTACAAGCGTTTATTTGTATTTCCATGCAAACATATGTCTGTAAATGCCTTCGATTAGCAAATTATATTAAGAAAATTATTTTTTATCTCAACAAGCTGGCAACGCATTGTGGCACAAAAGTATTCGCACTTTAATGCGCGCCAATTCACATTTTTTCATAGATGCTGTTGCGTTTTTAAGCGATTTTAATTTGTAAATTTTATTATAAAATGATACATATATATGTATATTTAATATTTAAGTAAAAGCAAAACACATGTAAATAAATAAAATAAATGTTAGTAGCATAGTTAATGTTAGCGTTGTAGGGTATGCTTGTATTGTAAGTGAAAAGAAAAATTATTTAAAGAAATGGATTTTTAATTAGCCTAAAATAGTGCGTGAGTAGCAGTAAATGAAAAGTAAAGTGAAATTAGTGTGCATATACTAATGTATAAACAAATACATATATTATATAGTATATGCAATTGTAATTCTAAATAATTTCAACAAACAGATAGCAAAAATAAATTCTCAAAACATTTTAAATAATTGCTTTTTATTTATTTTCTGTTTATTTTTTTTTTTTTGTAACTAAATTTATAGGCAGAAGAATTAGCACGTGCGTGATTTTTGTTTATCAAAATATTAAATACATTTTTTTTATTACATATAAGAAGCATATGGCCCAAACGCAGAATATTCGATGTTTCTTTTTTTTTTGTGAAATGTCATCTTTTTTGGAGGCGTCTTCTGGATATATAGAATTTTTCATTTTTAGGTCCTAGATCAGAAAAAAACAAAATGAAATGAAACAGCAAATGATCGCCCAAAATTTACTTCTCCTTTGGGTTTTAAGCATTGGCCAAAAAGAGCCGTTGAATATCAAGATTTTTGTTTTAAGATCATTGCGAAATTCTTATTTGTTCTTACCGTCAGTTTTTCGATTAAGAATAAACGTTAAATTCGGTTTCTTACTTTTTTGACCTTTTTTTCTAGATATTTTGTGATTTTTATTTTCTCCGATCAAAACCATTTTTTTGTATCTTTATTTTTTCTATTATTTTTAACCGTTATAATTGCGACTGATTTATATTTTTGATCTAAAAAATTAAATCTAAAAATAATGGTTATAATACGATCGCAAAAATTAAAAAACAAAAAACAACGATCAAAAATTTATGGAAAAAATAAATATTCAAAACTAAGAAATTTTCTTGATCGAAAAATAATAATAAAATAACGCTTAAATTTGATCGCAAAAATATAGATCCAATTTTATTCGTTAAGTTTTTATTTTAAATATAAAGATATAACCGCTACGTTTCCTGTTTTTAACTAATTTTTAATAATCAAACCCATTCTTTAGTAATTTTTAGCTATCCTTAAGCCATAGTTTGGTTTCTTGCTTTGTTCAAAGAGTGATAGCTTAGTTGTAATAGTTGCTAAGGGCCGTTTTCTCAAGTAACCTTTAACTTTAAGGTTCACTTCAAAGGTCGCATTAAAATTTATAGTTGTGTCTAAAGTTATGCTAAAAAACCTCGAAACGGAGAGTTTTACGTGGCAAATCGGCGCAGAAAAAATGCAGCATCACGTAATTGTGTAACATGAAAGTACGGAAAATTATGGTATTAAGAAAACATCCAGTCTAAAAAAACAATTTTTTAATTAAGTGTACAGTGCCAAAAAACACTAAGCCCAAAGTCAGTACTAGTAAATGTTTAAGATATATTAAAGCTGAATTAAATTGCATCTGTTAAGTTTTTTGGCAGTATGTTTAGAGATGTGGTTACAATTATAATAAAAAGAACGACGCGTAGTGTAAAAAAAAAAAGTTTGTGTGACAAAATCGAATGTCTCGAGAACGAAACCTCAGTATTTTAAAGCTTTTGACATGGAAAGTTCAGACAAAATACTCTCGTTGGATAAAAAAAAAACGGCGTTAGTTCCATATACTCATGAAATTTGATGTGTTCCATATTAGTCTCGAAATGAGGCCGAACTAGACTCCAAGTTGTCCCGAAAAAGTCCTGAAATAGTTCCCAACTAGGTCCAAAGTGATCCCGAAAAAGTTCTGAACTGGTCGCGAATTAGTCCCGAACAAGACCCGAATTCCTCTGCTGGGCCAACCAAATTTTACCCATGCCATTGTCTTGGTCTTTAAAATTACCTTCAAAAATATGGGAATTTTAAATTCGTTTCCTTTTTGACCGGAAAATGCAGTATGCAATTCACTTTCTTTTTTTAATTTTTAACATCAGATTATGCTCATCTTATGTCAAGCAATCCATTTCCACGGTGCATGAGAACCGAGATATACAATAGCATTTTTGCATTCTCCTTTTTTTCGCTAACTGTTTTCGTTCTCGAGATATTAGATTTGTCACGAAAAAATTCCATTGCCCACATTGTGCGACGCCCACCTAAATCTAGCCACTAACGTATGATATGTTCGAGAATTCGTTCGCGCACATCCCTGCAGTAACGTCTGATTTGTTCGCGCGAACTAACCGGAACTAACTCAATTCAATTTCAATTTTCAATTCAATTCAACTCAATTCAATTTTTTTTGTGCATAAGGATTGGTAAGTATTGAAAATGTCCTTGTAAAATTTATCCTTGAAATTTCGCAATATTTGTTTTTGAAAAAATTTTATGTTAAGGACTTATATAACTCGATAACATCCTCGAATTTCGTCCGTCTAACTTTATCATCTTAAAAATTTACCTATTCGTCTTCGTGAATCCAAAAATTTTTAGTTTTTTTTTAATTCTAAAGAAATTTCCTATTTCATTTAGTACCCATATTGTTATAGTTAAATTCTAAAGAAGGTTCCTCTTGAATTTGGTACTCATATTTTTATTCTAAATACATTACATTGAATTTTTTAAATAATTTTTGTAATTACTTATATCGTTTAAATTACAAAGTCCTTTAAAATAAATCCTGAAGTCAGAGAGGAAAAATAAAAACGCCACTTTAAATAAAAAAGTAGGTTTCAAACCTATTTTTTTATTATTTTTTATGGTAGGAGAGCTTCTCAAACAATATAGAAGCTATGTTTTCGATTTAAGTTGTTGAAAAGTAAAGACTATCTAAATCCCGGAATTATGATAACGACATCCCTAAAATCCCGGGATTATAAAAAGCGAAAAAATTAACATCCCTAGTGCGTACTTCAAGCGAACGAGCGATATACCAACGTTTAATAATAAAAACAATTAGTTCAAAATTCTAATTTTTCTTAGATTAGTAGGGATTTTATGAACATTTCAATGTGGACCTTATTTTGGTATAAAATAATTTTGAGTCTGCCCTACGATTTCAGTGACGTTTTGAACTTCTCGCTTAGTAACTTTAAATTCAACATTGTTCCTGTAAACTAGTAAATGCTTAAGACTATTACCAAGTTTTAAATAAGCTACATAGATTATTTAATTGGAAATGGATAAAGTTAATTGCATTTGCTTATTTAGCAATATGAATCCGAAAGTTCCGCCTTCCCGCGACAGTCAAGTCTACGTAATCGGAACGATCCAGATATGCAACTGGATTATTCAAGTCGGCCAAAAGAGGTCGCCACGACAGTAATCTTCGAAGAAATACATATGTATGTACATGGAATGTTATTAGGCGATCGGAGAATTAAATTGCGTAAGTTCTCTGCGGTTAAAATCATCTCAACTGAACCAGTATTGTAACACTTTACACATGTATGTATATTAGGGTGCCCATCGAAAATGCTTTTCTTATTGAAATTTCAAGACCCTACCCCCTAATTTGATTCGTTTTTATGACAAATATTATTGCCTATTTTTATAGATTTTTTAGAGGTCGTCACCTGTCGATTTATGTCAGAAAATACGATTTTGTAGATTTATAAGTTTTTGAATGACAATTTTTGATTCCATTTCAAAGATCGAATATTATCTGAGAATAGCATATATTAGCCTTTAAAATGGTATATACTAATATATTATCGGACTTGGCTTTTTGGATTTTTTATCGGGTAAAATTAAAAAAAAAAACGTATTTCTCTTAATTTTTAAATTTTGACCATCAATAATTTCCTTTTTCCTTTCGAATACCCCAAGAGCCGTCTCATCGGATGTTGTCATTGTCTATGCTTCGGCGCCATATGCCAGCACCGACATGATGAGTGAGCTATAGAGCGTGGTTTTTGGTACGTCGAGAGAGGACTTTACCTACTTAGTCCAAAGTAGCACTTGTTGGCTAGAGTAATTCAGCGTTGGATTTCCATGCTGATATTATTATCGATGTTAATGCTGGTTCCCAAGTAAACGAAATTCTCTACTTTCTCGCATATTATAACTGTCAATTGATTTATGCAAAAAAATCGCCCAAATTTTTATTCGAGT